TGATATGCTGACATGCTATTCAGTTGTACGACTTTTCTCACCTTTACTTTTGGACTGGTTAACTCAGATGTTCCTTGGCTTTGACCTGTATGATGTTGTTGATTCTTCTCAGATGATAAAGATACATTATTGTGCGGTTTTTGAACGACCTTCTTTACAGGAAAACAATTTTCTTTACCAGGTAGTTGAGATGGGAGACATACGGCATTCCAAGTAGTGGTCTGATATAAACAATCGGCAGAATCCGTTTGTATCTCTTGCAAGTTGTTACTCGATTCCAAAGGAAAAATTCCAAGATCAACTTCACCCAGAGCATTTTCGTTGGTATTCAGTCCACAAATACGCTTTATGTTCCTTATACGTGAATCACTATGTTGTGACTTTCCACTTGGACTGAATGACAAGCGCTTGACACGTTCAAATCCACGATGGATTTTTCGAGCTTGGTATGTCTTTTCGTATTGTCTTCTAACTTCTTCAAGATCGCGATTAGCACCATTTAATTTCTTGATAGAGCTTTCGATTTTTTGCTTGCATGGACGGCAAATTCGGGTTGATTCCGCGTTAGGGTCTGGAGTTCTTCCTGTTCAAGTCAGGACAAGATCGGACGTTGAAATAAACTAGTTTGCTTCCAGCATCATTTAAATTTTTATCGCACACAAATACTCGTAAAAGTTTCGACAAATATGAAGAATCCTTCGCAAGTCATCGTCATCTGTCATCTGAAGAGCATTATGGCCGACCAAATACTTGAGCCAGAGTCATTTGGTATACCTGCTGGACTACTGACAGATAAAGAAGAAGATCTTCTAAAGTATCAGCTGCTGTTTGACAAATTTTTGGCTTTCTTAAAACGAGAGTCCTGTTTTAGAGAGAGCGTTGTGCCTCTCGTTGTTGATGAATCTCACACTATAGTCATGGACGACTGTGTAAGTTTTACTAGCTTAAGAATTAAGTATGGATATAAAGTTTTTGAAGCATTTGTCATTTTGATTGTTTCTATAACATTTTACTCTTTTGTAAACAGAGGAAAGAAGAAGAAGCGAGGTTTCATAGAGGCTTTTGGAAAACTTGGAAATCTTCAGGKTTTTTTACAATCAGGTACTATATGCACATACTTAAGCAGTTGAAAAATAGATTAGATAAGTTTATTTAAAAACATTTCGTCCCTACTGTAAAAGGAAAGGGGGGAAAATAACTAAAAGGATAATAATTTATCAAATAAAGTGATAAGTCAAATACTGGAATAAAGTTGAAACGATTCACGACGATTACATTGATCTTCCTCAGGTAGAATGACCAGTTGAACCACCAACCAGGGTTTTTTTGTGAGGCAAACGGCRASGACCACCTTTCAGAACAACATCCCATGAGTGTGTTAGGTTGAAACGTAGGCCRCCCCTTCTGTAATTATTTAATTATTAACGACTGGATGACTAATCTACACTTAGARATAATAATTTATGTTGGAAGAGTACTGCAAGAGTGTGTGCAAATTTTACATGTATAAATACTAAAATACATAAACATAGATTTTCTGTTCTCATYAAGTATTTTATCTTTTATTATACGAACACCAAGGGGATCTGTTACTGGAACAGTAGACAAAACAACACAAGATATCATCAAAACTACATTGACCTTAAAAARTCCATTGTCCATTTACATCAGTCCGAATCGACAAAATTTGAGATTCTATGTTAAGAAAGTGAAGAAACAAGAGCAGTTGAAACACTTGGACTGGCTTACAGAAGAAATAAAGAAATCTGGAAATTTGACTCCAAAAACATTAATTTTCTGTAACACTCTGAATGAAATTACTACCATTGTAAATTAGCTGCAAGCTTGATGATGGGTGTCACGAAAGACAAAAACATATTGGAATATATCACTCAAACTCTTGGGCATCCAACAAAGAACGGATACTTTCATCCCTTAAAGGAAATGGCCCCATTCGAGTTGTTGTCACAACCTCTGGTTTATGCATGGGAGTTTTCCAAATATCCGTTATATAATTACGATATAGAATTCATATCGTTATATAATTAATTGGGGACCAGCAAGATCAATTGTTGACCAAATGCAAGAAGCTGGAAGGGCTGGAAGAGCTGGACGGGATGGAGCCTACAGGTGAAGATGATTCAAGTTTTATCTTTATGAATATTACTGGGATTTAGCCAATCCCCCATCCTTGGCTTGAATTTAGACATTTTCTTTCTATTGAAGTGTCAAGACAATAATTCCATGAAGAACTAACTTTCTTTTCATCTTAATTTTGCTCTAAACTCATCTTCGCGCACATTATAATGGCGCACATTATAATAGTATATCATGGACAACAAATTGGACCATGTGATCCAGAAATCAAGGAATTTGTGAAATCCTGTAGTCTCCTCTCGCAGCAGTTAGGACKTTGGTTCCCAGGTCACTCCCCCCTAACGGCTGCTTCAACTGGACCAGCATTCCGTTCTCGGGGATKGACCAATCAGAGCGTTGCCTTCCAAAATCTAGAGGSCTCATTAATATTCATCGAATTGATTCTTTTCAAGATGGCGGATAAACGTGTGGCTTTCGAAGCGGTTTGTAAGGTTTTTCATATTGCTGATTTAAATGAAAGTCAAAAGATTGCGATAACAAAAATGGTTATAGATAAGCACGATGTTTTTGTAAATCTACCAACGGGTTATGGTAAATCCTTGATATTTCAAAGTCTGCCGCTAGTGTTTCATTCTTTGACTAAAGAACCGGGTCACATCGTCCTAGTGAAATAAAAGAAGTAGAGAAAGGCGCATATCAAGTTGTTTACACCACTGCCGAAGCTATCTTAAAGAACAAAAGATGGCGCCAAATGTTACACAGYAATGTCTACAAATCCAAGTCGTGTGCAMTCGCTGTTGACGAAGCTCATGTCATTAAACAGTGGTAAGTAAACACCAACGTTAGAACTTGGATTWTAATTTAAGTCTGACGTATTTGTTATGATATAAGTTCGAATTTTCTCTTTGTTTATTCTGAAGTTATCTTTCTATTTAGGGGCACTTCTAATACTTCTAAAATGGCTCCTTTTCGTGAATGCTATGGAAGATTWCACGAGTTGAGATCTCTAGCTCCTCCAGTGAATATGCTATGTGACAGCTACAGCAACAAAAGATACTCGAGATACAATAATATATGTGTTACAGATGAAAAGACCTTTTGAAATCTATGAATGTCCCGAGAAGCCAAACATGACATACGTTGTTGAAGCTATTCCGACTGAAACTAATGTAGGTCAATGTTTTGAATGGATTGCTGACGAACTGAAAACCAAGGGAGTGGAATCTGAAAGGACAATAATATACTGCCAAACAATCAACCAGTGTGGGCGTATTTATAGTAYATTAAAGGCATTGCTTGGTCACCACTTTTTCGCTGGACCTGTAGGAGACAATAGAAATGTCACCCTAGAGATGTTACATTCATGCTCTCCAACAGCAAACAAAGAMGCAGTTTTAAAATCATTTTCTGAACTTAATGGAACAATACGAATCTTAGTAGCCACAATTGCTTTTGGGATGGATGCTGACTGCAAAGGTCACCAGAGTACCTCATACTTGCTATACAATGGCCTTCTGCTCACTCATGTTGACAAAGACATCAAATGCTACATAAAGGATACTGAATGCAGACGAAAGACATTGTTAAAGAAATTTAGCTCAAGAGACAACACTACATCAATTACACCTCATTTATGTTGTGACAACTGTGCTATTTCTTGCAAGTGTGGAACTGAGCAATTTGCAAAATCGACTCTGATTGGAAAACAAACTACAAAGCCTGTATAAAAAAAACAAGAGAGGTTACTGTTAGCCAAAGAAATGAGCTTTGCAGCAGTCTAACTCTTTACCACAAGTCAATAGTAATGAAATTCATGAGCGAGCATGCCMAKGGAGAAATGAAATATTTTACAAACSTTCATYTTTTGGTTGGATTTTCTGACTTACAAGTCAGTCAAGTAGCAGAGAAATGTCATCAKCTCTTCACCATCAGTGACAWTTGTATTGAAGTCGAAATCTGGCATATCAAACATGCTTTCAAAATACACGAAAKTKTAAGTAAAGTCTTTGGTGATATGTCTGAAGTGYGACAAGAAGACTGGGTTGATGATGACACTGAATTAGAAGATGCAATTGAGCATCRTAAGCAATACTCAAGTTTTGAATTCTCCCATGCTCTTTGTGAGCCTTGTTTGTGTGCATAATATACCTAATTGTGAGTGCAAAATTGTGATATTTCAAATCAATGTCTTTCTTCAAAAATTCCATGCATTTTGTTGAGAGAAGAGAGTTTGTTGGTTCAGTTTTTAGGCTAACAAAGAGCAAACCAGAACTCAAAATTAGATATAACTATAACTATTACTATTGCTACTACTTTACAATTTTTATGTTTGCAATAATACTCAAGGCAAACGATATATAAGTCTTAGTAGTCTCCAAGATAAAACTTCAACAATAATGTGAAAACATTGAATTAATAAATAAGATAATTGTAAAATTCAGAAATCTTSTTGTTGTAGTTGTCACTTGAAGATCTTCATTAAACATAGTACTTATTTYATCTTGCTCGAATGCCAATGCTAATGTATTTCTTGTGTTCATTTATCCAACTGTACATTGCGAAAGTGTCAAGACCATTACATGGATCTACTTCAAAGTCCTCAAAGTGATTATATACACGGGAGGGCATTTTCTCCATAGCATTACACTCAATCAGCCTTTTGACAAGCTCCTGCAGTAGAACTTTGAGAGTGTTTTCCCTTTTCACTTGCTTGTTTCAATGTGTCATCYATGGACTGTATTATCTTTCTGATACCTTTTTCAGACGTGCAAATTCTAGACACTGCTTTCTCAGTTAAATTTGGGCCTAGATTTTTCATAGCTTGTTTCAAATAGTTGTTACTGTGCTCAACATCTAAATCCAAAGGAACGTTTTTGTCAAGAGACCCACTGTTGTTGACTGAGCGATTCCATGTAAAGCGTTCCTTGTCTCTTGGTGAAAGGAGTGCAAACACTAAGAAGAATTGGTAGATAGATARATAAACCTTTATTAACTTATACTGCTCAGGGTAGCCCCATCAGATGCAAAAAGCAATCTGTTATCAATGGGAGCCCTGAGCATAACAACATAAACTACAATATAATACATATGTGCATATTACATCATAAGTAACACTAGAAATATGATGATAGATAGATAGAAAATATTAATGGTAAAAAGATATAGAAATTTGCATAAATACTAAATTCTATTTGGATAATTCATTAAAAAGAATGCAACCATAGTAGTAAAAAGATCTTTTTGCCATCTCGGTCCTCACAGCAGGTGGATGTAAAAAATTGCTTTGTCTAGTAGCACGCGCATGGATTGCACTATTACRCTTAAAATACTCTTTAAAGTATTGGGGACAGTGACCTGACAGGCATTTTTTTACAAGTTTAAAAACCGATTTGCGTCTGCGCTCCTCTAACGTGGGCCACTTCAAAAAGTCACTGGACTGCTGCGCTCAGATCTTACAACTATTCTAGCAGCACGGTTTTGGAGGGCCTGCAGACTATGTTTGTGACCCTTCCCACAGCAGCCCCACACGCTTACACAATATTCTAAAATTGGCCGAATAAGACTGCAATACACTACATTTGCGCTTTCTGTAGTAAGGTTTCTACGAAGTCTACTGAGCATTCCTACACGTTTTCCTGCCTTCGAAATAAGGTGCTTTATCTGCTCATTCCAGCTAAGGTGGTCATCAAAAACTATACCAAGATAAGTGAAGTGAAAAACGCGCTTAACAGCAGTGTTATTTATAGTAACTGAAAATTGATTCACGGGAGATAATCTAGGCGCAGTTCCAAAAAGCATAGTTTCAGTTTTAGATAAGTTAATAAATAGGTTATTATACGAAAGCCAGTGTTCAATATTTAACAGTTCAGCATTCAACTTGTCTTGAATGATAGAGGCTTGAGAGGATGAGCAAAATAGAACAGTATCATCAGCGTACATTAAAATATTGCAATCAGTCATCACTCTAGGTAAGTCATTACTGTGTAGAATAAACAACGGAGGTCCTAGGATAGATCCTTGAGGTACTCCAACAGAGATCACTTCAGGAGTGAAACTCAACAACTTGGGTGCGGTCTGACAGATAATCCGTAAACCAATCAAGCTCTTTATTCAAAATCCCCAAATTGGAAAGCTTGTCCAGAAGTACAGCATGGTCCACCGTATCAAAAGCTTTGCGAAGGTCAATAAAYACAGCGCCAGTTAATTGACCTTGGTCCATATTTCTACGAATATTATCAGAAAAACTAAGAGCAGCAAATTCTGTAGAGTGACACTTCCGAAACCCACATTGAAAAGGACTCAGGATCTTCTTCTGCTGAAGATAATTATTTAGTTGGAAAT